AAAAAAATAGGACTTTCTATTTGCTTTTAAACTGTAAACGCTTTTCACTAAGCTGTTTTTCCAATTTTTCCAAGTTCTACATTTTCTCCTTAGCTCCATGTTGCAGTAAGTTTTGGGAGTTCATTTTTAGTCCATCTCCTATCCTGAAAAGTCTGTCTTGCAGAGACTGACAAAAATGAGCTCCTAAAACTTACTGCCAGATTCTGGAAGATCAATTCTTCAAACAGTGGTACAAGAGGATGTGGTGCTGGTCCTTCAAGAGTCACTCTCAACTTATCTGTCCATAAAGCCTATAAAAATAGTCTTCATGTATTTCACAACACTTCAGAATGTTATTCTTATTAAGTAGGGGTCATTTTTTAGGATTTTTTACCCAAGCAAAGTCTCTGAGAACCTGACACCTTGTAATTCTGGAGACTCAAGGTTGCAGTTCTGGAAAATAGTGGCACTGGAGACTAAAAGGTTCCTGATGGTTTCACACTTAATTCTTCACATTAATTATTAATTATTTTGCAGTTAACATGCTCTTTTCTTCTCCACCTGTTTTTTTCTGACCCCGCTGACCCAATGAGCATTTTTCTGACCAATGGTCATGCCTTAACTTTGAAATTTCTGTATTGCATTAGTTTTTAATATTTCTCATGGGGATTTAATCATTTTTGACTTCTCAGTCTGAGTTAAATCTCTTTTTTGGCTCATGGCTCATTTAATCCGTAAAAAAACCTGCCTAATAATTCTGCACACCTTATTAAGGAGTTTTTTATTTCCAGCCTTCATGTACAATTATATATCACTTCTAAATGATTAAATACAAAAATAATAGTAGTTATTAAGATTGATGTGGTTTGGAATTGGTAAAATGTGCTTGGAAAAAAATATGATCAGAATATCAACGTGCCTAATAATTATGCACACACTGTAAGATGTGCTCCCTTTACACAGAGTGTGCATGATCGCGAAATCGAAATCGAAAGTGAACGTGAACAGCGAGCGCTCATTCAAATGCGATTTCAATACCCCGCATATTGATAGCGGCTCCCTGATGTGCGAAAATTATGGGGTTAAAGCAAAAAAAATCTTTTGACTGAATTTTTCCTCAGCCAAATCCCATTCCACAGCCATACCCGTCACACACCCAGTTTAAGAGCAGTGT